TGTTATAAATTATTTGATGAGCAAAGTCATCATATATAGAGTCTCTGATATTTTACTTGGTAATTAAGTTATTTGGAAACAAATCCAGATATACCAATAAAAATTCAGAAAGAAAATGCCTCATGGGGCTTTCTGACCCAACCCTTTTACTCTCAAGCATTTGCTACATTCCAAGTAACATTCTTAAATTAGTTATAAAAAACAAGGGGATACTTCAAGTAATCAAAAGGGGACTTATACAAGAGTGACGAAAAATAGCATAATTTCTTCCCTTCCTCTTCCTCCTGCCCCAATACAGCCTTTTGCTATTGATATAAATTATTTATCACTTTTAAGAATAAGGCCTTAGTGTTGACCTTCCCGTTTCTAATAAATGTGGTATTTTTAAAAGGGCATGCCTCATGTGGCTTAGAATAGCATCTGGAAGAATAGAGCTAACAAATTGTTAACAGTAGCATTAGACTAAGTATTTGTGATGGGGTTAGAGAGGACTTTTACTTTCCTTATTTTTGCTTACCTGAATATATACAATGAACATGTGTTTCTTTCATCAATCAAAAAAAATCAGTCAGGGTCGGCATGGTGGCTCATGCTTATAATCCCAGCACTATGGGAGGCCGGACAGGAGGATCACTTGAGCCCACGAGTTTGAGACCAGCTTAAGCAACATAGTGGATCTGAGGTATACAGAAAAAAAAATTAATAAACAAAAAATAAATTAGCTGGGTATGGCGATGGCACATGCCTGTGAACCCAACTACTAAGGAGGCTGAGATGGAAAGATTGCTTGGGCTGGGGAGGTTGAGGCTACAGTGGGCCGTGATCGTGCCATTGCACTCCAGCCTAGGTGACAGAGCAAGATATTGTCAAGACAAAACTAAACAAAACTAAATAATAAAGATAATTTTTAGAAAGAAAAAAACCCAGCATGTACTTTGGATCTAGCATGGTGACTTACTTTCAGTCACTCAATCAAATATTAAGATTCTTAATGTTTTTCTTAATGTTTGAGCCTGAGCCTTAGTTTCCTTACCCATAAAATAAGGTTAATACTTAATACACAGAGATGTCACAAGGAAAATGCTAACCACATGGTAAATACACAACAGAGCTTTAATTTCCTTGCCTGTAAAATGTGGAACCTGGATTTGTTGTCTATGATTCTTTCTGGAGTTATAATATTGTGATTCCCTCTTTTTATATTTACAGAAAAAGGTTGCTAAATGAACTTAAATGTCTTCATTTGTCTTCAGGTAGTTATTTTTTTTTTTTATTTCCTGAATGACCAGGAAGCCAAAAACATGTGAGCAGTGCCTCTGGAATGTCTGGGCCACTCCACCCTGGGCACCTGGGAAATGACAGGGTATTTCCGCTCATTAGAAACTCCCTGATGAAGAGAGCTTTCCTTAGTGGGAAGAGGATCTAACTTCAGTTGTAATAAGCCAGTGTGTGCCATTAAAAATGTTATATACTCTCAATTTTGGGCTTTGAGTACTCCCAGCTTTCTCTTAATTGGTTTGCTTACCTATATTTGCAATCCAGATACTCTGCTGAAACAGTTACGCAAGTGTTCCATAATTTATTATATCCCATGTGTATGTCATTGGTTAAAGTCCAATTAGATCATTATCAATTAGAGAGGGATGCATATTAGTTTACAGAGTTGTCTCCTACACATTAGAAATGCTAATAATTGCCCGTCTTTGATGGTACTAGGATGATAATTTTACAAGTCTCTTTTTGCTTTCAGAAGATTGAAAAGTGGCTTGGATCATAGCAGTGGCAATACTCATCAGACTATAAAAAGGCAAAAACTTAAAAAGGGAGAGAACTACAAAATCAGGAAACATTGCCATCCCCAATTTCTCAAAACATGACATGCTTTTTATTTAATAAAAATTGTGTATGGATACAGAATCATAGAGAGGAACACCCACATGACTTAGAATTCAAAGTATCTCATGTATGAGATTTCTTAAATTAAGCCTTTTCTGTGCCTGCTGAATACCAGTGGGTGAAGAACGCCTTCAATGCCATTTTGGCATTTCTAGCACCCTGTGTGGCTTGGTAAGATTCTTTATCCTGACATGTTATAGTAGTCCCAGCTTTTCTTGTAGAAGAAAGTCCATTCTGCTTAACATTAATTTTAAGAGATATTATAGTAGAACTGAATATAAACAGACTTTTTTTGTTTCCATATGTATGATTAAGTTTCTCTATATACAAACTAGAGATAAAACAACTTGATCCTTACTACAGGGAAGGCTGAGGGAATTCTTTCTGTGAGCAATAATGATAAATATTAACATTTTCTGAGTGTCTACTATTTCTCAGCCATCATGGTTGGCATTTTGTATTCCACTATTTTATTTAATCCTAAGAAGATTCTGTAAGGTATTACCTACTTTTTTCCTTCCACCCCACCCCCCACCCCGGCCTTTTTTAATAAAAAAAGAAAAGTCTAGTCAAATGCAGTAAATATATGCTTTTTTTCAAATAAGGAAGCTGAAATTTACAGAAGCTAATAATTTACCATTTAAGTATGCCATGTCTGATTCCAACACCTTGATTTTCATTACTTCTCTTTGACCTTCTAGGAGGAAGATGGAAATGTTCTGAAGTCTGGTGCATTGCCTGCAAGTCCTTCAGCAACTGAAACCACACTTGTGTCACTCTTCCTCCTCCTGCTTTCCCTTATCTCTTATGCTCTGGTGATACAAACCTACTTGCAGTTTCCTTAAAGTCCTGTTCTCTCAAGTCTCTGGACTTTTGTTGGGATTGTTTTTTGGCTTAAAATTTCTTTATCCCAATAGCATCAGACTAGCTGGCCTACTCTTTTCAATTTTCAGTTTAAACTACTCTGCCATGCTTCCATTACAGTAAGGATCTTTCTGTGTCATCACCTAAATTGAACAACTTGAGGGAGTCCTTTTGTTTCTTCATTATTGTATTTCCAGGACCTTTCAAAATATCTATTTTGCAGTAGATGTTTTATCAAATATTTATATAATGAATGTATGAAAGAATGCATAAATGACTTGCTATTCATGCAAAAAACTCATTAGGGATCTGAGGAGGGTCCTGTCTTATTTTATTCCATAGCAGCCTACAAGTTACCAGAAGTGGAAACTTTTCATCCTCTCATAAGAAAGCTTTCCAACATATCCTTATTTTGAATAGCATACCTGGAACACAGTAGTAGCTTGACACATATTTGTTGAATTGATGAAGAGCCTGAGAAACGAATATAACGTCTTGATAATATAATGCCTCTTCTTTCCAGACTCACTTTGTGCCCTGCCTACTTTATCCTCTAATGATGAGTAACAGTATGTAATTTTCATTCATGCACCAAATACTTATTTATCCACTATTACGTGCCGGCACATTGGTGCACTGTTTCAAGTAGGCTCCTTTCTTTCCTTGCTATCTGTGTTTGTGGAAATTCATGAAACCATTCAGCGAATACCATATTTATTGTGGTTTTCTTATCTTCCTTCATTCAGTTCAGTCACTTCTCCCAGACCATCCCTGACCCCTTAGGCAGCTAGTGCCTGCCTCTATTTTAGCCCTGATTACATCAATTTTATGTTTGTCACTCTCTACCCCCATCTCTAACCCACAATACCGATATGCTCTCAGAAGGCAGGAATTGAAGTTTGATTCACTTATGTGCCCCCAGGGTCCAGCAAAAACCTAGGACACAGCCAAACTGTATATATATAAGTATTGAAATGAATAATTGCTACTCTTTTTTTTTTTTTTTTTTTTTTTTTTTGGAGAGACAGAGTTTCACTCTTGTTGCCCAGGCTGGACTGCAATGGCAGGATGTTCGCTCACTGCAACCTCCGCCTCCCAGGTTCAAGGGATTCTCCTGCCTCAGCCTCCCAAGTAGCTGGGATTACAGGCATGCGCCACCACACTCGGCTAATTACGTATTTTTAGTAGAGACGGGGTTTCTCCATGTTGGTCAGGATGGTCTCGAACTCCCAACCTCAAGTGATCCACCTGCCTCAGCCCCCCAAACTGCTGGGATTACAGGCGTGAGCCACCGCGCCCGGCGTAATTGCTACTCTTTATTGAACAACATGGATTAACACTTTGAAGTCCAACCACACCACGTGAATTAACTATTATTAACATGTCATCCATGAGAAAAAAGAGGCTTGAAAAAGTTTAGAAACTTGCTTAAGGTCACACTGCGGTGGAACCTGTTATTGCAGGAATCTGAAGAATGAAGTCACCTTTGAATCGAAATGAGTAAGACTCCTTCTCACTATTTTTTCTTGAGTTTTCCATTTAGCTCTTGCAAACTCTTTGTTCTTTAGACCAATGACTCCTCATCTTGATATTGTAAGTGGGGGAAATACCCTCTTACTTCACTTTGGAAATTGTTCAATCTCTCTTTGGAAGAAACATGATTTTAAACTTTCTGAACGCTCCTTCTGTCGATAAATCCGCGCGGGAGTCCTGGGGCACATTAATAGGCTCAGTGAGGACTGTCATTCGAAACGGAATGCGGGAACTAAGATTTTTTTGTTTTTCCGGGAAGAAAACACAACGAATTTAGCAGAGGGGAGGATGGTCCTTCTGTTAGGTGCACAAATTCTAAGACTTGAGGGAATTTGACTGCTCACACTTAAGACAGCTGCGGGGGACTGTGTTGCCCACAGCTAAGATGGCTGCTAATGACCATCCCCTTTGGCTGGGTCTATTCTTTTGCTCGCTAGTATTTTCATCGAGAATTAAAGAGAATAAAATTTAGTAAAAGTTGGCACCTCCTTGCTAAGTAGATAAAATAAGAAAGTGGTACTGTTTGTTTAGAAAACCTTCTACCGCGCAAATTGTTCTTTCCCTTAACCAAAATGGTCGTTAAGGTTGTCCCGAGGTTTGAAGTTTCCAGCCCTTAACTAAGATGGCGCCTGGAGGCCCGTTAAAAATTAGCTTGCCCTTTTTTCTGCCCTCTACCAACACGGCTTCCGTGGCTTCGTTCACGTGACATTCCTGGACTACGGCGCGGGAGAGGGGGTAGGAGGGCCCTTGAAGGGTGCGCGTTCCCGTGGCGGTGCACCGGGTAGGTTTCAGTCAGAGTCACTATGGCGGCCGGCGCTGGCAAGGTAAGCTGAGGCGGCGGTGGCGGCCAAGGAGGTAGCACCCGTCGTGGCGTCCTGGCTCCAAATCTTCGCAGCCTCCTTGCGGAGAGGTCGGCGGAGGTCGTGTCTAGCGCTGGGGGCTGGCGGGGGTCTGGCTGGAGGAGCCGAGGGCTGAGGCTGGCGGGCTGAGGCGCCTGACGGCCGTTTGTTTTGATGTTTTCCCCACCAGGTCGGAAAGTTTCCTGCCTCGTCGGGCGCAGCTTGAGCTTGCCCCATCGACCGCGATCGGTGGAGGCTGCGGCGGACCCAGCCCGGGGCCTCCAGGCCTCTCCCCAACCTCCGGGCCAGTCTCCCTCCCCCACCTTCTCGTCCGCTGGGAGCTGCGGCTGCCGTCCCTGAGATGCGACCCTCGCGGGGGCGACCCTGAGGGGAGGCGGCCCATGTGCTGAGCGGCGGACAGGAGCCCAGGCGTCCGGGGACCAACTTCCTGCCGCCTGGGAACCCGCGCCTCCCGGTGTCGCGCCTCGCTCGGTCAGCACCGGCCTGCGGAGCCGGGTCCCCGCCCTGGTCGCGGGGACGCTCGCCAGGTGCCCGGGAGTCCCGACTCGGCTACTGCCCGCGCCCTGCCGGCCTCCACGCCTCGCGCGGAGGACCTCAGCCACCGCCGCCTCGGATCGTGCGAGGCCGGGGACCGCGTCCCCCTTCCCGGGGCGGCCTCCGCGCAGCAGGGGCGATGCAGACTGTCCCGCCGGCCGTCTAGAGCCTCTACACTGCGGGCAAGGACGGGCGGTGACTGCCCAGAGGTGCCCGGCCACACCTTCCTTCGGCCCAAAAGGACTTTCCTGGCCGCGCGGAACCAACCCTTCCTTCATGCTGCAGTGCTGCAACGTTTCCGCCACCGAGGGGGAAAAGCGGCCGCGATCTCAAACCAAACACAAGAATTGGCGTGTGACTCATCTGCTTGGATACCTCCAGTCCCCAAACTGTGTTCCAGAAGTTTTCTTGGCGGAAGCTGCCCGATGTTTGAGCCTTTTCTTCCCAGAGAAGAAGATGGACTGAAAGCTGCCAGTTGGGGACTTTTTGTGATCAGGGCGCTGCTGGGTTTTAAAGGAGGTGATGGGGCTTGCGCTGGCTTGTCTTCCTACCCAAGTGAAGAGTTGATGTTCACTGGTTATGCTTAGACAATGTGCAGTTTGTGTTAATTTAAAATTTTGGGTGGGATAGGGGGACAGGCTTGTGAAGGGCAGTCCGGATCCAGAGGAACTCCTCTTTGTTCCTGGTAGGAGAGACACCCCCAGTCTATCCTCGATGCCGTCAGCCTTGGCCATCTTCACTTGCCGCCCGAACTCGCACCCGTTTCAGGAGCGTCATGTCTACCTGGACGAGCCCATCAAAATCGGCCGCTCAGTGGCCCGCTGTCGACCAGCGCAGAATAATGCCACTTTTGATTGCAAAGTGCTGTCAAGGAACCACGCTCTCGTCTGGTTTGATCACAAGACGGGCAAGGTAATGTCACCACATTGTCCAGCGGCATTGTTTAACAAACTTGTTTCCCCCGCTTTGCCCTTTCTGAGAGGCTTAATGTATGCAGGATCCCAGGGTTTGCATCCAGAGGAGGCTTTGCGCAAAGCCACGAAACAACTGTTTGTGTGCCTGGTTCTAGTGGAAATTTGATTGAGGTGGTTGAATGGAAAACAGAGAAGGTATTGTAATTAAAAGCCTCAGGAAGTCTATGGCATCTTGATAACGTGGTCATTCCCAGTGAAATACCAAACTAGATAGTGAAACTTGGCGTCTTGCTTTCAGTCTGCTTGGAAAGGTGAATCCACAGTTCAGCGCTTTATTAAGCAAGCAGGAGTTGTCAGAGCAATTCGGGGAATCTGTGGCCATTATTATCCCAGGGCTCAAGTGTCTTAGTAGTGAAATGTAGTTAACACATAGCTTTAGGTGAGTTCAGATCAGGACCTTTCTAGTAAGGACAATTGCTGGTATAAACCTAAGATTTTTGAAAGGTTTGATACATACTTGCTCTTGAAGGAATAATTTGCAATAATCAAAGCTAATTTAATTAAGCATGAACAATTGTAACTTTATATATTTTCAGAGTGTTTTTTACAAGTTGGAGAACATACACATACTGCGTTTGAAAATCACATTTTGATGTTCCCTGCAGCACTTATTAAGTACTTAGTGCATTTTTACAGAGGTGCTATTCAAAAGTTAGTGTTAGGAAATAAACTTATTTTCTGAAATTATACCCTATTCTGTCAATTATAGCATTACTTAAATGTGATGGGATGAATTCAGTGCTTTTCATTTTAAGCGTAATCAATTTAGTATTTTTATGTTAGTATCGTAAGTTACTATACACATATGTGCTTTTAAGAAATGAAAGAAATTAAGATCCTTTCCATTTTTAAAAACTGTTTATTTATGTTTATGGATAGTATACTAAAGAGCTCATCTTTGTGCCTAAACCTCAGGTTTTTAGCTGAGCTACTGAATCAGTTCCAACTTTAAGTTATGTAAGACTAATAGGACTGTCTCAGGTTTCACCTCCTGACTTTTTGCCCCTTCTTTCTGAGTTAAATAATTAAATCTTTCTTAAAGGAAGAGCTTAAGTCTTCAAGAATATGTTTTGAAATGAAAGAAACCTGAGCCTTAAAAGGAAGAGAAAAAAATGATACTTCGGCAGCTACTGATTTAAGGAATTATTTTGTAAATTATTTTTTGAAGAAAGGAGGAAAAGATTGTCCAAGTGCTGTGTGCTGCATAATATCTATACTTTATTCTACGTGTAGGAGTGTAGGATGAGAACTGAAGAATATGTTAACTTTTCTGTATAACACCAGATCGTCATTTACCTGTGGAGCAGACCCTTCCTCCCTACCCCCAAGCTGAACTTAGGGTGCCTAAAATACTATGTAGATTACCCGTAATCCTTTTTTTTTTGAGACAAATTTTTGCTTTTGTCACCCAGGCTGGAGTGCAGTGGTGCTATCTCAGCTCACTGCAACCTCTGCCTCCCAGGTTCAAGTGATTCTCCTGCCTCAGCCTCCCAAGTAACTGGGATTACAGGCACACGCCACCACGCCCCGCTACTTTTGTATTTTTAATAGAGACAGGGTTTCACCGTGTTGGCCAGGCGGTCTCGAACTCCTGACCTCAGTTGATTCGCCTGCCTCAGCCTCCCAAAGTGCTGGGATTACAGGCGTGAGCCACCGCACCTGGCCCTCATAATTCTTTAAAATGAATATTCATAGAGCTCATTTTTCCAGCAGTTGAATTTAAATATCAGTTTACTACTAAGTAGTGCCTTAACTCAACCAGCTTTTACATTTTTGCCATTTTATGTTCTTGGGCAACAGGTCTAAACTAATTAGACAACAGGTTTGCTCACGGTACGTACTCTGCAAATGCGCTTTGATTAAACACTCAAAGGGAACTCTCATTTTTTGTTTTACTTATTTGAAAAATACTGATTTCATGCACAGTGCTTTCCATGGCCGTAATAAAACTCTCACAATAGGTTATTTTGAGATAACTAAGAATAGATCAATAGTGACTGTTTCATGAATTGAGATGACATGCTAATATTTGTTCTTTTTTTTTTTTTTTTGAGATGGAGTCTTACTCTGTTACTCAGGCTAGAGTGCAGTGGCGCAACCTCAGCTCACTGCAACCTCTGCCTCCTGGGTTCAAGTGATTCTCGTGTCTTAGCCTCCTGGGTAACTGGAATTACAGGCACGTACCATCATGCCCAGCTAATTTTTATATTCTTAGTAGATACTGGGTTTCACCACGTTGGCCAGGGTGGTCTTGAATGCCTGACCTCAAGTGATCCACCCTCCTCAGCCTCCCAAAGTGCGGCCAACGTGCCTGGCCATGAAATTTGTTCTTCAGAAAAACTTTGAAGGGTAGATATGGCTTATTTCTACCATTTTCACTTTTTTCCCTCTTCTGCTTTATTAGCTAAAATAACACGCAGGCTATGAGACCACTACTTTAGATATAGATGTAATTATTGATTATTATACCACTTAATCTAGTTACAGCAGATACTCTGTCAGATCTTACCATGTCATTGAATTGCTTTAGGAATTAACTATTTAAAGTTTTGGTTTGGACAGATAGTAGGTTTTATTTGAGCATCTATTATATGCCAGACACTGTGAGGGACACAGTTCCAAAGAAAACCCACAGTGTGACCAAATAGTTCTTGTATGAAATTTGCATTGTCTGTAGTCCCAGCTACTCGGGATGCCGAGGCACGAGGGTTGCTTGAGCCCAGGAGTTTGAAGTTTCAGTACTGTGATTATGCCACTGCACTCCAGCCTGGGCCTGGGCATTAAAGCAAGACCCTGTCTCTTAAAAAAAAAAAAGAAAAAGAAAAGAAAGAATCCCTTTAGGCAAGGAGTTTTGCTCTTGTTGCCCAGGCTGGAGTGCAGTGATGCGATCTTGACTCACTACAACCTCTCCCTCCTGGGTTCAAGTGATTCTCCTGCCTCAGCTTCCCGAGTAGCTGGGATTACAGGCATGTGCCACCACGCCTGGCTAATTTTGTATTTTTAGTAGAGACAGGGTTTCTCCATGTTGGTCAGGCTGGTCTTGAACTCCCAACCTCAGGTGATCCACCCACCTCGGCCTCCCAAAGTGCTGGGATTATAGGTATGAGCCACCGCACCCAGCCAGGTTTTTTTTTTTTTCCAAAACATCTGGGGATGATAATGGTACCTATTATTGGTTTGAGAATTGAGGTAATTATATAAATCACTTAGCACCCTGTCCCTGGCTCTTACTAAGCACCCAGTACTTACCAGAGAGGGTGTTTAGTGGGGAAGAGGGAACTATTTAGACAACACTTTGCAATTTGCTATAGTGCTATGGAGTCTTAGGAAGGTAATGAGAAATTATTTTCTTTAATGTGATAGCATATATAGAAGAAATTTTTTTTTTTTTTTTTTTTTTTTTTTTGATACGTGGCTCTGTTGCCCAGGCTGGAGTGCAGTGGTGCAGTCTCGACTTATTGCAACCTATGCCTTCTGGATTCAAGGGATTCTCCTGCCTCAGCTTCTCAAGCAGCTAGGATTACAGGCATTCATCACCAGGCCCAGCTAATTTTTGTGTTTTTGGTGGAGACAGGGTTTCACCATGTTGGCCAGGCTGATCTCAAACTCCTGACCCCAGGTGATCCACTTGCCTCGGCCTCCCAAAGTGCTAGGATTACAGGCATAAGCCACTGCGCTTGGCCAGATGAAATTTTTTAAGTTGAAACTGATGTAGTTGATAACTTTGTGCAAATTGGCAATTTACCTGGGAGGTCGAAAATTGGGGTAATATGTGCTTTGGATGACTTTCACTTTGTGGTGACTGATGCATTCTGCATTGTCCATTATGGGAGGCTCTTTAAAAGTTGGAAGAAATAGGTCGAGCATGGTGGCTCATGCCTGTAATCCAGCACTTGGGGAGGCTGAGGTGGACGGATCACGAGGTTAGGAGATTGAGATCATCCTGGCTAACACGGTGAAATCCCGTCTCTATGAAAAATACAAAAAATTAGCTGGGCGTAGTGGCATGTGCCTGTAATCCCAGCTACTTGGTAAGGCTGAGGCAGGAGAATTGCTTGAACCTAGGAGGTGGAGGTTGCAGCGCGCCAAGATCGCGCCACTGCACTCGTCTGGGTGACAGAGCGAGACTCCATCTCAAAAAAAAAAAAAAAAGTTGGAAGAAATAATAAACACTTGAAACTTTATGATTATTCAAATGATACATGTTCATTTTAGAATATCTGCAAAATGTAGGCAGGTGGAAATCTAAGTGACACTTTTTAATGCTAAGCTCATGGAATATCTTATTGTATAATACTTAAATCTGCATGTTGAAGGGTGACAGGTTTGGCACAAGGCAGAGTTTCATAATCTTTCCCAAATCATCTTCTCAGTAATGTAGCAGTTGGATATTGCCTTGCTTGGATGCTGGCCCTATATATTATCCTCCATCCTTTTTGGAAGTCACGCTCTTCAAATTAGATGGCAGATAGTAGAATGGTTTTTTTTTTTTTTTTTTTTGAGTCAGAGTCTTGCCCTGTCTCCCAGGCTGGAGTGCAGTGGCGCAATCTCGGCTCACCATGACCTCTCCCTCCTGTGTTCAAGTGATTCTCCTGCCTCAACCTCCCGCGTAGCTGGGATTACAGGCATGAGCCACCATGCCCGGCTAATTTTTTGTATTTTTAGTAGAGACAGGGTTTCACCATTTGGCCACGCTGGTCTTGAACTCCTGACCTCAGGTGATCCGCCCGCCTCGGCCTCCCAAAGTGCTAGGATTACAAGCCTGAGCCACAGTGCCCAGCCTAGAATGGTTATCAATCCCTCTGTTGATTCAAGGCACCATTGAGCAAGCAAATCTATGCATATAGTGGTTACGTAGAAGGGATAGCGAGTGGACTCTTCTCTTGTGATTTGGATGGCCCTATTTGATTTGAGGCTTTGGGGTACTGGTGACATGCT